ATTTTTTTGGTCTCTCTGCAAGAAAATTCTAGGGTCCAGAAAGAATTTCTTGTAAAGACAATTTTGTTGTGAAAAAAACCTTCAACATTGGTTGAGAACCTAATTATGGGACCCAAACAAATTTAATATCAAGTGGAAATTGTTGTAGACAGAATTGCTGTATCAAAAATCAAATTGTTTAACAAACTTTTTCTCAAGTCCAGGCAAAAAGCCCATAGAGTGCATGTTGAAACAATCTCATAACAAACAACTTGGCAATTTCAGTACAGTACAAAATATATTTTGCATGAAAATATTTGAGGAGTATATTGGGTTTCTTCTGTTGAAACTTTTCAAACAAATAATGTAAAGTCTCAAAATTTTCCTTTAAAAATGTGACTGATGTGACTGGTTCTTGGAACATGAATGGACTCAAGGAAAAATGATTTCAAGTTTGTTTCATAATTTTGTATGAGATAAAAATGCAAAAATTCTCTTGTCTGATTATTTATGTCAGTGAATTTTCCTGTTTTATTACTCAATTAAAATTGATCAGCCCCTTTTTATTGGCAGCCCACTGATGTGTAATAAAAAAAAGTAACTTTTGAACAGAAGATAAAACTTTTGCTGGGTTTGATTCTACAAATTTTTTTGATCATATTGAGACAATGCCCCTCATGAAGTACATATGATTTGCTCAAGAAGTAAAGAATCTATTGTTGACATCAGTATACCCAAACATTGTTTAAAAATCAAGTTGGTATTTTTCAAACAATAGTGAAAAATCTGAAAATGCCAGGAAAGGATGAAAGTCAAATTTTGAACAATGTTTCCATTGATTGATTTTGGAAATCTTGTAAAAAATTATTCAGTGCAACAAATATTTACCAAGTCCCCAAAATGTTTTTGAAACAATATTTTACTGCACAGCTATATTGAATCTTGCAGCATTAAAAACTGTTTCAAGCCTTGACAGCAAAAAATGACCAATTTAAAGATAAAATTTCATTGTAAATGCTGTATTATTGTGTTTCATGGACAATATAAAAACCAAGACATTTTTTTTCACCAAAAACCTTTGTTCAACGTTTAATCTGACACATCCAAGACTTCTCACAGTTATAATCCAATCGAATAGAAGCAATGCCTTCATTTTCCTGACTTCCTGAAAATTTTCCCACAATAATGTCAGAAAAAAAGGTAATGCGAAGAACACACATTCCCCTTGATTTTGGGAATTTTGAAAAACAGGGAGACGAAGAATGTTGATGAAAGATTGACTGGAAACAAAAACGTGCGAAGCCCGTGACTTTGATTAATAATGCGTGTGATTTCCTGCGTCAACTGTTCCCTGCTATTATATCCCCTAGCTTCTTGCTGAAGAGAAGATTGTAATTTAAAAAAAAAAAAAAAAAAGACCGGAAGCAATGAACGGGAACCGGAAACCATTCACAGCCTGGCGAGGTGATCTTTTGGATGTTGTTGGAGAAGGGAAATAAATCTAGTCACTGTACATCATGAGTTCAACATTTTTAACTTATTCTCCCCATTTTTGTGTCTTTTAAGATTCATTGAAATCAAAAACATTTTTCATAAATGAATTGCCCTCATGAAAACGCAAAAAACTTGTTTTTCATGTCAACACATCCAAGTTTTGAAAATTCCCATAGTCTTTTTTCTTTTTGAAAAAAATATATTCTTGTACTGTATATAGATTCCAAGAAAATTGATTACTGTACATTCCTTAAATTTTGTCATCATTTCCCAGTGATTTTTTGGACAATTCATCGGAGCATCGCCTATATTAAGCGTTTGTCAAAATTCATGCCAAATTTCGTCTGAGGCCTGATTTCTGAGGCCGGGAAAATATGAAATTTTCCGAATTTTACGAAGTTTAGACCTTTCTAAAACGCAAATTTTAGTGAAAAATTATTATTTGCCTTTCTGATCTTGACGAGATAGTGACGTTAAGAATATTTTGAAACTATTAATTTTGGATTGAGGTTTCCTAGTAAAATTTGTTTATGTAATTGACGTCAAGACTAAATCCATCAATTTTCAATTTATTCACCGCCACATACAATTGAGTCAATCGTACGATTTAATTATTTTGAAATTGGGTAAATGTTGAAAGCTGTTGGAATACTCAGAAAAAAGGCGGATAATTAATTTTTTTATCATGCATTGAGCCACAAAAAAAAAAAAAAAACATTTCACCCACATCAGCTCATTTGTGCCAATATTGGAGCATTTTTTTGTTTATTTCTGGCTTTTCTTCTGACGTCGTTTCAGCAACGGGTTTCAAGAAATAATGGTATTGGTACGCAAATTTGTAATTTTTTTGCATGACCTGAGCAAAAAGAAGTCCTTTGAGGACTGAAAAGAACTGTTGCAGTGTACGGGACTGCTGATGGTGCTGGTCTGCGGCTCGTACGATTCTTTCGGTATATTCCCAGCGAAAAAATAAAATATACACACGATATACATGGGAATGAATGCATAAAACTTCCGGAAAGTAGCGGAACTGCCACTTCCGCCTCGCTTCTTCTCTTCGGCCGTAATTACAGGATACGTTTCATTTCTGCCATTGCCCCTCAGGGGGCTGCGAAAATGGTTTCTCATGCCATTCTGCGTGCATTACTGTTCCACATTTCAGCGGTTCACTGAAATTTTCGGGGAATATAGAAAACAATCAGGACTCTCTTCCTTTTTTTATATTTTGTTCGTGTTTTTCCTTGCGTGAGAAGTACAAAGGAAAAACCGGTGGCGCGAAGAAGTAAATTATCCGGGAGTGACCCAGTTTTGTCAGACCATAACTTGGCTTGTGGGGCCAGTATACTCATTTTTGTATAGTGTCCGAAAGAAGGCAGGTTTTGAGTGACACAACATGAAGTGCAGGACATAATCTAAAAATACAGTGAGACCCTCAGATGATGGACATGATTGGTGCATCAAGAGTGTCCATAAGTTGAATTGTCCCTGAGTTGAGTCTTGTTTTCCCATGGACTTACATTATATAATTTTTAATTGGTGTTTTATAGAAGAAATATTCTTCAGAATTCCATGGAAAAAAAATTGTGCCACTTGAGTTTGATTCAGTGAATATCTTTTCAACTCAGTAAGAACATTTGGAGCATTGATTAGTATACCTTTGTACCGTTCATTGAAATGTTGGCATCTGTAAAAATAACATGCAAGTCGCAAAGAGAGAAGGAAGTCCATCTTTGCTATAGGTAATTATTTTTAATTAGCTGGATGGATGGGAAAGTGATGGGAAAAGTACCAATGAATTTTTCTTGGATAGATCTTAGGGCTAGAAACATCTGTTTTTTGCAATTGAGCCTAATATAAGTCAATTTTCCTCAAATTTATTGGCAATTTTATCATCCAATGCCTTTATGTTGAGTCAGTGTTCATATTTAGGGCCTTTTTAATGATTTTTTAATTGAAAAATAAAAATCCCCATGTCAAGGTGTCCGCATGTGGGGGTCTCTCTGTATACAGTATTGGGTTTCTGGTGGGACAGAACAGTCCATCTATCATTCATTTATTAAATTGAAAATGATTCCCCAGGATATGTGGAGTACAGTTATGTACATTCTTTCTGGATACTACCCGTATTTACTTGAGTACCACTTGCACCTTTTTTCTCAGATTTCAGAAAGAAAAAAGGGGTACGTGTCATAAGTGGGTACAAATTTTTCAAGAAGTTTTAGGAAATTATGTGTGCATTATACTTAATTATAATGGAGAAATTTGGAAAAAATGTAATAAGAAAACTTTTTGTACTGAAAAAGTTGAAAATTGATCAGATTTTTGTTCAATTTATGTCTAGAGTCAATTTTTTATTTATTGTCAAAATTTTGTGGTTTTACATTCTCTAAAAATTGGGGCGCGTGTCTTACTTGGGTATAAGATTTTAGCCAAACTTTCAACTGGAAAACCCCTGTGCATGCCTTACTCAACGGCGCATGGTACTTGAGTAAATACAGTACAGCAGGTGCTTGGAATTTTATTCTCTTCACTATAAAGCAAATATTTTCTATAGGGCCATGGTGATGCTTTTAATTTGAGAATAGATACAGCAATAATGCCTGTTTTATTTATAGCTGATTTTGTTATTGCAGACTGACTTGGATATTCATAAGATATATTTCTGCCAAGATCATCCTCTACATCAGTGTTCCTCAAACCATGGTTCATGGACTGGCATCAGTTCGCAGAAATTTTTCTGCCATTCTGCAGGAAATTTTCAGCATAATAAATTTGTGAGAAATAGCAATGAAGTCTGTTTTCTTTACCTAAAATTTTGAGAAACCAGTGGCAGTTGAATTTATCTGATGAGAAATAAAAGCTTGAACATCATCACAAAATATCTGCCCTATGAAAAAGAGATTCACCTGCAAATTTCATCATGCAGACAAAAATAAATAAAAAGCCACTTTGAAATATTAAGAAGTACAGTATTTTGTAATTGGCATTACAAAATGGTGCTCATCCAGAAGGATTGAATTAATTTTTTTATTCATGGGCTCACTTTATACAGATGGAAAATTACCGTATTTACTCAAGTACCATGTGCCCTTGAGTAAGGTGCGCACAGGGGTTTTTCAGTTGAAAATTTTGCAAAAATCTTATCCCCAAGTAAGACGCGCACCCCAATGTTTAGTGAATCTAAAACCATAAAATTACAAAAATAAAAACAAAATATGTGACTTTAGGCATGAATTGAACAAAAATCTAATCAATTTTCAACTTTTTCAGTACAAAAATGGTTTCTTCTTATATTTGTTCCAAATTTCTCCATTATAATTATGTATAATGCACACATAACTTCCTAAAACTTCTTGAAAATTGTGTACCTGCTTATGACGCACACCCCTTTTTTTCTTTTGAAATTTGGGAAAAAAGGTGCACCTGGTACTTGAGTAAATACGGTACTAAAAATGATCATCTTTCTACCCATAACACAGGTTTTATGCGAGAAGAAAACAATACAAGATAAAAAACGTTGATTATACATAGTGCATTTATGGTCGCGATGGTGGTCGCGTGGTCTCCAGTGGTAAAATGTTGCGGCGGCTCGTGAGCATCCTGGCTTGCAAACGGCGCCACCGGTGGCACCACGAGCTGGTGGTCCTCGTGTCCCTCACACTCACCTTCGTGCTGGTGCTGAATGGGATCGTACAGACGACATGGAAAGTGTACCAGGATGTCGGCGACCGTGACATTGGAATGTTGCGGTCTGCAGCCGCCCTTTTTCCGGCGTCCGTGGGTTGGATTGGAGGAATGCACGGAGAGAAGCCATCTTTGCAGCAGGCGCCGTCTTGGAGGATCCTGCTTAGATCCGTCAAGCCGTCTCAGGCGACAGATTTAAACAATGGCGCCGTGGACAGAAAGTGAGTTAGCCTATACCCTTGGGTGGCAAGGGTCAGGATTTTGTAAAAAAAAATAAAATACAATAAATCCATGAACTCAGGACTTGGATTTACGGTAAAATGTTGTTGAAATAAATCTTATCCCAACAAAACTTGTACCTTATTCTAATAAATCATGTTTTGAATAATTCTGTTACAATAAATCATGTTCTAAAAAACCTTGATCTTGTTGAAAGAAATCTTGTTCTAACAAACCTTGATCTTGTTAAAGAAATCTTGTTCTAACAAATCTTGTTCTAACAAATCTTGTTCTAACAAATGTTGTTCTAACAAATCTTGTTCTAACAAATCTTGTTCTAACAAATCTTGTTCTAACAAATCTTGTTCTAACAAATCTTGTTCCAACAAATCTTGTTCTAACAAATCCTGTTCTAACAAATGTTGTTCAAACAAATGTTGTTCTAACAAATCTTGTTCAAACAAATCTTGTTCTAACAAATCTTGTTCTTACAAATCTTGTTCTAACAAATCTTGTTCTAACAAATCTTGCTCTAACAAATCTTGCTCTAACAAATCTTGCTCTAACAAATCTTGCTCTAACAAATCTTGCTTTAACAAACCTTGCTTTTTAAAATTATTGTTGATATATAGAAAAAAATTGTAAACAATAGTTATAAAAAAACAAAAAATTATATATATATAGAAAATATTGCCTATGATGTCCCTATTATTGCATTGCCAAATGTTATTAATATTTTATGAAAACAACTTTTTCTGAGGCCTCAATTGCTTTGTTTAAACAAGATTCTAACTTGAAAAACAAGATTAAATACAATAAATCCATGAACTCAGGACTTGGATTTACGGTAAAATGTTGTTGAAATAAATCTTATCCCAACAAAACTTGTACCTTATTCTAATAAATCATGTTTTGAATAATTCTGTTACAATAAATCCTGTTCTATAACAAATCTTTTTTCAAAGAAGACTTGCTCTAACAAATCTTGTTCAAACAAATCTTGTTCAAACAAATGTTCAAACAAATGTTGTTCAAACAAATGTTGTTCTAACAAATCTTGTTCAAACAAATCTTGTTCTAACAAATCTTGTTCCAACAAATCTTGTTCTAACAAATCTTGTTCTAACAAATCCTGTTCTAACAAATGTTGTTCTAACAAATCTTGCTCTAACAAATCTTGCTCTAACAAATCTTGCTTTAACAAACCTTGCTTTTTAAAATTATTGTTGATATATAGAAAAAAAATGTAAACAATAGTTATAAAAAAAACAAAAAAATTATATATACAGAAAATATTGCCTATGATGTCCCTATTATTGCATTGCCAAATGTTATTAATATTTTATGAAAACAACTTTTTCTGAGGCCTCAATTGCTTTGTTTAAACAAGATTCTAACTTGAAAAACAAGATTATTTTGCCAAAGTAAAAAAACGAAAATGCTTGTTGATTCTGTATGATCAGAAAATGTCTGACCGAGTAACAAAAAATTTAGATTATTGTTGCCCCAAACAAAAATATCCCTAAAGGAACATATATCTCACAAAATAAACCCAGGTTTTGCTGCCATTATGGTTTCCAAAAATAATGTAAATATTGTATTGTACAGTACTGTACTAAAATAATTTTTTTTCCTGTGTTCCAAGCAGCAAGAAAAGCAGGAAGCCCAAGATTGCGACTTTGGTTGCTTATGCGGCTGACGAGAATGAAAAGATTTTCAGAAATCTCTCGGTCACCAAATGCTTTCATCGCGTGCCAAGCGGTGTGCAAATTAATCCCGGGGGTCCTGCCCCCTGGCAAAACCCGGAAGGAACTCCTCTGTACCTCTACAGTGCCTACTTTGACACCCGGTTGCCGGTAAGTGCCAATTTTCATTTGTCTACTACGCAATGAAAAAAACTCACTGTAAGAGAACATACAGATACAGTAATGACTTGAAGCAGTGTTCCCCAACTATAGTGGTCCGCGGACCGGCACCAGTCCGCAGAATTTTTGGCTAGTTGCGTCCATGGAAAATTTTCTCCAGCATAATACATTTTTAAAAACAATCAATGAAGGATGTTTCAGTATATTTTCTAAGACAATTGCAGTTAAAATGTATCCTGAAAAATAAAAGTCGTCATTTCTATACTAACACTTCAGAAAAATGTTCACCCAATGAAATAAATTACAGTATTTTAATTTTTCAATTCCCAGTGTGAAAAAGTTTTACTGGTCTGCAGAACATTTTTTTTTTATTTGCTGGTAAAAAAAACTGTATGGCAACTTGCTGGTCCAAAGACCCAAAAATGTTGGGGAACACAGACTTAATGAATATTTGTCTAAATGTTGATTTACAAAATTATTAAATATGTAATCATCAAAAGGTTCTTTTTTGAATTTTAAATACTGTAGAAGGTAAATGAATGGAATTATTTTCGGGCGCACAAAATTTAGGTCTTTTTTTTTTAGCAAAGACTAATAACCTAAAACTTTAAATCACAATTCTTTGCTTTCTTTGCTAAAGTTGAGAGTATATGTCATTGGGTTGTAATGAATGTGACAAAACTGAGAACAAAGCAAATTTTTGCATTTTATGCACCAATCTTGATTGGATTTCAGAGTCTCATTTTTCAGATTCATCCTTGAAATCTAACTTTGAGCCACTGAAAAAAACTAACTTTAATGCAAGTAAATTATCTGTAGAAATGGATTATGAGAAAAATTGAGAAAATTGTAAATTATTACCATGCCATTGCCTCTCTCCAAAAGTGTTGCATTTTTATTTTTACAGTGGAACCTATGAGTTGAACTTGAACAGACCAGCCAACAAATTTAGTACAGGAGGTTTCAAGTTTTTAAATAAGACATTCTTGTTGGGAAGAAAAACAAAAGTAGAAAAAAGGCATCCAGAAATTTTGAGTCATGGATGTTTAGAGGGAAAGCCTTTGAGTTAGAAAGGTTTTTAATGCATATAGTTTCTAAGGGAATGCAAATGGGGACTGTCATATGTTATGGATACAAATCAAACAGCACTTTGGAGTGTTCCCTCTTTTTACTTCTTTGTTAATTACGCTTTGCTGTGCCTATAGAGCACAACTGCACTTAACATTCCATTACTACCTGGAATGCTTTTCTAATCCATTTCCATTTTTCTTTGTTGCTGCGCAACAAAGTATGTCAACACCAATCCAAATCAGTTGATGTGTGCAGTCCTCAGTCTCAACTTACTCAAATCTATGAATACAGGCATTTTTCTATGATGCAAGTTATCTGTGCCTGGACTTAACCATAAAACCTTGTTGTTGCCTCTCTGCTCTGCAACATATTGCTTATTGCTGTGTGTAAAAAAATAAAATAAAATAAAAAACGTGTCCCAAATGCTCAGAGTATTTTTTGTACTCTTTAAAAAAGCACACAGAAAACAATCTAAATCTCTGAGATACCACTCTCTATTTTGGTCAAAAAAAGTTATCCAAATTGGAGTAAAATTGTCTGGTTGACAATTAAAAGATCAAGGCTTTTTATTTGCTCCTACCCATTCAAGACAACAACTGATAATTCCAAAATGTTTCAATTTTCACCAGATATGCAAAAATAAGATACTTCACAGCAAAATTTCAACTTTGAATCACATGAAAAATGTTCACTCTGATATATGTGGGAAAATCCAGTCTTGACTGTAAATTTTTTTCTTTTTGACATGCAGTTTCTTGAAAAAATGTGTTCAGAAATCTAAAGAAAATAGCAAATGCTTAGAACTTCATGCTGACAATATTTTGAGTATTTTATCTGTCAGAAATAAGAAAGTCGCGCGGCAACAGGACAACCCGCACTGTCTTCTTTCCATTTTACTTTAAATTTCAAACCTGGGGATAAATAAATAAAAATATACTTCAATTACCGTCATTAAAATTCTACACCCCGAGGCGGAATCAAAAAATAAAATAGAACCCCCCCCCCCCCCCGAAAAAAAGAGAAACCAATGAACCCGACTCCAGTCCCCGAAATGAACCTTCATCCCAGTCTCTTAAATTGCCGGCTTTCCATTAGATGTGATGCAATCAGTGTCAAAAGCATTCAAGAGATTCATCAATCTCACCTGACCCCAAGGTACGATTTATGACTATCCCTTCAAGGTCTCCCTTATATACGTGAAAAAAAGAGAATCAAATTTTTTTATTTACTAAGAAAAACAGAACAAGAATAAATGAGAATGATTTTAAAACGCACATACACCCGATTTCCCCGACACGACGAACCCGAAATTGCAACCTATGTGCTTCGGTCGAGTATATATATAACCGCAACAGCAGGGCTTGGGGTTCAAAACCCCGGGCTCCTGAACTCCTGACTAACGATTCCGGTTGAACCTGTGGATATATATTTTGAAAGAGAAAAAAAATGTACGTGTATATAGACGGATAAAAATACTAACGAACTTATGATGTGGTTGGGAAGAATTGGTCGAGAATAAATTGCCCGACGACTCATCCGGCGTCAGGCATTGACCCCAAGACTGCCTTTCGTCTTCGTCTTTTTTTCCGCAGCATCATCATTCAAATCTTTCAGAGGCTCTGGGTCGTGAACCTCTCACCATTTCCAACAACAACATAAAAGTAAAGAGTAAGGAATACTTTGACACCGGGAAAACGTGATCAAACCCCGGGGAAGTCGTCCTTTGTGAAATTACTTCACTCTCGATTATTTTTTTCTCCCTGTGAAAATTCAGCAACTTTTTTTCGATGATAAAATACGACGTAAAAAAAAAACTGAAACCGTCGCAAAAATCATGTTTACTCATAACGAGATTATTCCAAAAAATATATACTTTGATAGCTTCCAGGATCCCATTTCTTTTTTATAAGATTTTTTATAAGAAGCCAAGTCGTCTTATTCAACTTCTCAGCCATTAAATATACAGTAAAGTATACAATAAAATATTTCTACACAGAACCCCGAGGGGCATGAGAAAAATCATTATAACGAATACAAACCAAAAATTTTGTGGGGAAACAGGTAATATTATTTGTTTTAAATAACTTTCGCAAAAGATATGTAAAGATTAGCTCGAGTTTCCATTTTGTAATGAAATAAGAGAGAAAAATCGAAATTTAAAGTTGAATTGATTCTTTCATTTCATATATTCCCTTCCTTGAATTTTCTAAAAATTACTGTATACCAAAATTAGTAAAAATGTCGACGGCCCATGTTTAACAATTGAGCTAAAAAATCTTTAAACAGAGATTATGGAGGAAAATCAATTTGTATTGTGACATCGTTTTTTCAACATCGTCCCTATGTGAAGAAATTGCAGGAGCCAAGAAAATAAATTCGTAATAATGAGATTGATTGTGATGGAATTCCACTGTAATGTATTTCAAAGATTTGAAGCTGAAGTATTTATTTGATTTTTTTCAGCCTTCGAACCAGTTTTGGATCCATCTTCAGGGGCGAGAAAATTTAAATTCTGCTGATGCGTCCATAACAACCAAATTTTTACGACATGCAGCCACATAAAAAAATCAGTAACATTTTCCTTGTAATGTTTTTTAAAAATAATATCGGCAAATACTGTATTTGTTTGTAAATAAACTGAAAAAAAAAGAATTTCCCTCGACAATTACCGGAGTTGAAAAGATGCAAAGCGATTCTCAGTGTTAATTACCATGGAAATTTCGGAATTGGCATAATTTCTGGAATAATTTAACGTTATTGAATGAATTTAAGCAGAGTAATAGGAATTCAAATGTGACCGTTAACCTTTTACACTTTGAAAAGTCCTTGCATTCGTGACTGAAGCCACATATTTTTTAGAACAAGAAAAGAAAAACTTTCACATCTCATAGTATTTATTTCAAAGCTTCGAGGAATATCCTGTTTTGCCAAGTCATCCAACCCCTTCCTCAGTCTAATTACTGCTCATTTTTTCATGCAAATAAAAAGATGCAGTTTTCTTCCGGTGAATAGATAGAAAAAAAAGTCGGTCTCGGGGAAGATTACCCGAAATAAAAAAGTACTGTACTGTCATAAAGTACAGGCCAAACTACCGGCAATCAACGTCTTTTCATGACAGGAAAATAACCTGTAAACTATAAAATGAGAAAAAAATATATAAATAAACCAAGGAAGAACACCGTGTTTTTGAAACAACCCCGTGAGAAGGAACACAAATCACAGCAAAGTCTCAATTATGTCCATTGTTACGACTCCCGAGGTTCCCAGTAACCAACCATTGGCGGCCATGAAAAAAGAAGAAGAAAAAAAGAGTTCCTTCTTCAGGTTCACAAAAAATGAGATAAAAAGCTTGAAAGGAAAAGGTCTGGGTTTGTGCTTTGAATTTAACGTGTCAATGTTCTCTCATTTTATAGGGCAGAATAAAGCTCATCTAAATTGAGCAGCAAAAGAGCAAGTCTTCAAAACATCAATCTCTTGGAAAAGTTCTCAGAAGATTGTAATTTTTCAATGCTTGAGGCCGCTAAAAAATTGTCATTCCTAACTAAAAAAAAATCCTTGAGGCACATTTATTCTGGGTCCCTCAGAGTTTTACTTGGAGATTTGAGTGTACAGTACAATAATTTTTTATGTATTTTACGTGGACAACCTGCAAAGCACTTTAATTTCAGGTGAAGATTGGATGATGTAATCAAGAATTACAAAAGGAGGCAGAAAAAAAGGTGATACATCCAAAAATAAAACACATCATTCAGCTGTGGGGTTCAGCTGGGGATTTTCTTAAGCCTTGTGCGGCAAAGTCAGGATATATTTGCAAAATTTCATGTCACTGAGAACTGGGAATTTAAAAAATGCAACTTTTGTACAAAGACCTGAGTCAGGAAAAAGTCCAACTTTTTTTTCTAATCCAGCAGAAAATTTTGGATGAAAAACAAAAAAATCCCTCACTGGTTGGCATTTTTTCCTGGTATAGGATCAGCATGGAAGATTCTTGAAAACAATAGAGAATTTGCCTCCCAGATTTTTCCCAACTTAAGCCTTCTCAACCTGGAAGCATTTCAGCAACCTTGGGTCAAACTGAAATGCTCCACCCCCCAAAAATATCCCAACTTTGCCTCACGAAGGAAATGAACCCTCCGCTGTCCAAGGGTTAAGGAAATCCCAAAAGATAAAATATAACCTGTATTTCTTCACCCCAAATTAATTCACAGATCACAAAATCAATCACACAACACAATGAATAAAAAGATATAACCTTCACAATCTCACACACACAAAAAGCAACACACATCTTTTGTAGTCCGTACTTTTGCACACCTAAATTGTTAAAAACCCTTGAAGGGTACAGATTAAAATCTAGTATTCAATTAATATGGCTGCCATCTAACAGCAGCAAGTGTGCAGGTACAGTATAGTATATTAAGGTACCAAATTATTCTGTCACAGCTGATTTTAATTCTTCCTCATACATAAGCAAATTAAAAGTGAATTAAAGACAGGTGGTCATCAAATGGGGAAAAGATTGCGGGGTATAGAGAATGTTATTAAATCCCTAGCCCATTTTAATGAGTTTCCCGGCATTTTAATGCAGGCCCTAATTACTGGCTAAATTATTCCCTCCTTTTTAACTTATTTTGGCATGCATACTTTCTGTAATGCCGAATGCAATTTTCCTTAGGCTATAATGGGAAACACATTCAATATCTGTTTCTCAGAAAGTCGCATAAATATTGAAAATCTGTTCAAATTTCAGCAATTTATTTTTTTGCATGCAATTTCAGGTTTAGAAGATATTGGCATTAAAAGCAAGTAACCCCAGACTTATTAAGGTTTGTAATTCCTCAACTTTCGTAATTTTTGCAGGTTTATTCTCGTCATTTCTCACAAAATGTTGACACTCAAAAATAAATGTATTCCCATCAGTAATTTAAAAATCGACGCCGATTCCCAATTTTGTTCACTTTTGTCCTGTTTTTGATTATAGGGTATGAAATGGATAATAACTATATTCCTTCGGTAATGAATTGTTTATTAATGCAGAAGATGAGCTTCGTGAGGGTGATCGGGATGATGAAAGGGCTGGAAGAGCCGGAAGCAGAGTACTTTTGCCAGCTGTGGTACGGGTCGGGTTCGCAGGAGAACCCTGACCGCCAGCACCGGCAACCCCAGGAACAGGTGGCGGCGACACTCAAGGAAATCTGGTGGCGCCACTGGGACAACCGCCCCGACGAAAGGTCAGCCTTCCCGAACACAATTTTCTGATGATGAACACGACACAAAAAAAAAAAAAAACGGGGGAATCAAACGTTTTCAAATTGACAAACTCTCACATGGGATTCCTTTGCGGGTGAACTCTAGGAAAATTATGTCGAAGTTCTCACTTGAAAAAAATTAATTAAAATTGATAGTATTGATATACTGTAGTTATAAATAATACATCATAGTAAACAATATGTGATTATCAATAAGATACCAATTAAAATAAAATTATTACCATGCATGTGTTCCCACGTAAACAAAAATAGTTTATGTCTAAATTGTTTGAAAATAATCACCGCCATCAGCTAAAATTAATTGATCTATATTCTATAGCATATAGAAAGTAATTTCAAGTTTGGCGAAAAAATTCAATTCATAACATTTTGGAAATTTCGTCTGGCGAATCTGTGCCATTATGTTTTAAAATAAAAATAAAAATCGTCAACCATTTCCTGTCGTTCAAGAAAAAAATTATTAGAGCATTCATTTTTTTGTGGGAAAAATAAATTTTTAGGTGAGCGAGTGATTTAGAATTCCCATTTGCTCAAGATTTCCTGTTTTCAAAGCAAAAGGCTGGTAATCCTGTCGAATTTTCAGTAGCTTATTTTTGAATTTTCACGATAATTTTGCATAATTTTTTACTGTAGAAAGATGGCTTTCTTCCCTTGGGGTTTTCAGATAATTTTTCCTATAATTTTTCTGTTTTCATAATTCGTGCATCAAAAACTTGAGTGTAAAACGATGATTACTGTATTTATATTGCTGTCGTGCCGTATACTTCCAAAACCGAAGGAACGTCGATTAAAAATCGAATAATAAGTAATAATTATCCGTGCATCATGATAAAATCTCGAACTAAAAAATTCTAGTATAGTGCAATAATTCCAAAAAAAATATTGTAACATGGAATTTTAAATTCGACGTAAAATTCGGTTTTTATTTTTTAATCTGAACAGGAAATACCGTCCACATCTGATATCATGTCCGGTGCCAAACGAGAATCGGATTCCGGTTGGAGTCTCGATTTCTCCGTCAAACTGTCCGAAACCCTCGTCTTACATCAACATCACTCACGCACGTGAAGATTATTCACGAAATCAGCTGAAATCAAATGAAAACAAGTACAAATTCGTCGTGTGCGTGAAGGGACTTGATTTTTTGTGAGTAAATAAGTTTCGAGTGACACCTATGTCAATCGAAAACCATTCGGCTCGGTCGAATGGCATTTAGATAATTCTAATAGATGACCGGTTAGATGTCGCTCAGTTGTCAAAAATAAGATCCGATGCCATCCCAGGCCATTTATGCCGTGATTGAAAACATCTTGGCTAACGAACTTCTGCTGATTGTGTAAAGTCTTTGAGAAACCCAGATTTGGTCGAGGAGGTTCTTACTGAAAATACAGTGCATGTTTTATTTTTGTGAAGAGGTTTATTCTCTTCAGAAACTTTAGTAGATTCACGTAGTACAGTAGATTCATTCTTCTCTTCGGATTCAAGAATCGTAGTTTTCGTCGCGTAGGTGTCGCTCGATTTCAAACTGAGCCCTGCGAGGCTTCTCGCTTATGTAATCATCAAACAACATATGCGCAGCAGGGATTTACCCATTTATTTCAGTTGTACAGTATTTATTGCTTTACAGAAGTGACAACACAGAGCAGCTTCTGGAATGGCTAGAGCTGTTGAAACTGCTGGGTGTGAGCCACGTGACTGCGTACCTGTTTCGTTTGCACCCGGATGCCAGACGAGCATTGGTCACGTACGAGACCGAGGGTTTCCTCACCTTGGTGCCCTTTGATCTGGCAGGTGACCAGCCCAACTCCCCGCCTCATGTCCGCGCTGCCTTCCTGCGCCGCCATTTGTGGCAAAAGCGGAGGGACGAACTCGTGCCTTACAATGACTGCTTCTACAGGTAATACATTACTGTATTTATATTTTAAAGTACAGCGTAATTTCGAATACAACGAACCTCATTTGTAGTAATTTTTCTTGAGAAAAAAAATTCCTTCTTAAGGTTCATTTGGCATATACTGTAGTCACAATTTTATTTGAGTTGGTCGCAGCATTTTTTATTTATTTTATGCAGCAGTTGAATCTCTTTAGGTAAAATTGCCAGGAGGGACCAGCAAAAGAATTTGAATAAAAAAAATCACATGTTTTACTTTAAAAACAAATAAAAATGAAAGGTAGTTATAATTAGTTATAATCATTTTTTGTGGCCCAAAACTGCTCTGTAAAAAATGACTGGATGCTGAGCTCAGAGGCAAGAGTTAATTTGCCAAACCAATTTTCCACTTTGTTTGAAAACAGATCAAGTTGTATTCTTATTGCTTTTATCTTTCTTGTGTCAATAAAAAATAGCCAAAAGGCCTCCAGAAGAACACAGTCATGGACATCTTGGGGAAGGGGGGGGGGGGGGGGTTTTGAGTTGAATATGTTTTAATGCATTGTTTCTAAGGGAATTCAGGCATATACATTAAACATTTTCAAAAGGAGGGATTCAACTTAGGGAGTTTGGATTTATCAATTTTTGGCTATATAGGATTTAATGCTATGATTTGTTCAGGTGAGAGAAGTTGTCCATGCATATTTGATGAAGAGGACTTATTTGAATTAGCATTTTCTACTAACTCCTACTGATGGCATACTCATATTGCTCAGAAATTCACTTCAGGGTGAATTTGAAAGAAAAAGGAAAATAAGCCTTATAATTTATGCTTCTTCTTATATTCATCTGACATTCAGGCACATGCAGACAGCTGATTTTGTGGTGCCATTGGACGTGGATGAAGTGATATTGCCAAAAAAGGGAGAAACTTGGGGAGACCTTGTGAAGAATTTACAGGATCTTGTACCAACTGTTCTGGATGAGTACGTTTCCTTCACAGGCCACTTTTTCTGTAGGGCATTTTCTCAGCTCAAAAAAAATTTCAAAATATCCATAGCATGATGGAATGTAGCATTCCAAAAAACTTTTTATTTTACTGAGTTAATATAATTTAACAGCAGTGAGCCCCTTCTCAGCAAAAAAACGCACGCACGAAAACTTTCGTATCTCTAAATTTTTTGGTGAGAAAAACTTCCTTGATTGCAATAAAAAAAATTTGCGTGATGGAATTGTTCGTCGAAGAATGCTTTGATTTTTGAATCTTTATACTGCAAATTATTTTCCTCCTTTCGAGTCAAAGCAGAAATTTAACGTGAGAGGATTGAAGGGATACATTTTGGCTGTTTCCCGTCCCGCATATTTGTAAATTTGAGAACATGCAAGCTCAACATTGGAAATTTCACACTATACATTGATAACTTTCTGAAATGCCCAGTTCAAAAAATAGTTTCATCAATACAGTAATGTTTAGTTTTTTTTGAGTGTACAGAGTGCTCCACATATTTTTTAATTATCCCTAGAGGAAAATCATATGTTGATGCATAAATGACAGAAATGTTGCATAGCAAAAGCACATCCTGAATGTAAGAGATTAGTTTCGTTATGAGGGCATTGAAACTACATTACAATATACAATATAGGGGAGGGATTAAGTATAAATTCATCCATATATAGGCATACACACCAGGCATATTTTGTCGTCTCCTCCAGCTCCAGCATTTATTGCATGCGCATAATTGTCTCATGTTTCGGCGCAGACACGCGTCGCTGGCGATCCAAAACGTGTATTTCTTCCGGAACTCGACCGGAACGTCGGGCCGGAAAACCAGCCGGAAGTCCGTGCCGGGCTTCCTGCACATGACCAGCAGGGACACGCGAAGCGCCAATTTCAGCGATCCCGGACGGGCGGTCAAGAGCCTGGTGGCCACCAAGCGGGCGCTCACGGTCTTCAACCATTACGCGCTCCACACACTGGGTGCCGGGATCAGATCCCAGTATTGGGTATCCCGGGATCAGGCGCAGATGAACCACTACCGGGACTCGTGTCCCATGGGCATGCGGAAGGCGTGTCTCGAGGACTGGTTCAAGTACACGGTCAAGGACGACATTTTGGCCAAGTACGAAGCACGACTGGTGACGAACGTCGGGGACCGATTACGGAAACTCGGCAGGCTCTGAATAATAAATGCTTTGAACCATCATCCAACGATGATGAAATGGAAGGAAAGAACGTACCGCCGGTTTTACTCGACTTTCAAGTGACATCTGGGCCTTAAAACAAGAACTTCTGAATACATATACAGGCGCTAGATATCGCTCTTTCCGAAATTATATGTTCCTTCAAAGCACTGTACTGCTGCACTTGGTCGCACGACATATTTTTCAATGCAGCCGGCCAGGTTATTTTTTTAATTCAGAAAATAAATTGAAAGCAGACCATTTTGAGCTATGGATATAATGTATTTCACAGAAATCCAAGTTACGTCGTCAGAAAGAAGCTACAAGTTTCAATGATTTGGTCACTATCGCTGTGAAGTTAATTTGATAAGATTTTTGGCTTTATCATCTACATGTATGCTCGAAGTCAGGTACTGTATCTCGATAGCTTTTTAATTCTGCAGCATCAGTTGTTTTTAGCATGATGAGCTACCGAATGACAAACTGACAAATTTCTCAATAGTGAGATCTGTTTTAAGAAAGTATCATATATCCTCAAACCCCCTCTGAATAAGTGATGCCCCTGCCTGATTCTCAACTTGAAACTATTTTACTACCCGACTGACGGTCGAATGTGTGATAGACGAAGAATGGAACTCGGTGCAATTATTTTCGCCATGAAGAAAATGTTTTAAAAAATTTCATATAATTCGCGAAGAATTAGTATTGTTGCTGGAATCTCGGTCAATGGCGACTTTGACTGCGCTTTTTGTGTATTGTTACGGAGATGTTGGCATTTGCGCTTCAGAAAATGGATCGATTTTCGTCCACTTTTACACAAATGCCGTTGCGTTTATTTGGGTTGCGGATCTGTGGCGAGATTTTGGTGACCTTGAGGCGAGGTAAAAACGGGAGGACAAGTGATACTGTCCACCCCCTTCACGATGCCGTACTTGATCGCACGGGATGAGCGGGAAGTAGGTCGTCTACGCCCCCACGGTGCCAAGCAGTCTGCAGATGGCCGCTGCTGAGGAGACCCGTCAGTCACTGGAAAGTCTAAAATCCATGAAACACGCTACACTTCTCAAGGAATTCCTGGGGGAAAAAATTAAGATTCATACGACTGAATCATTATTTCATGAAATATGATAACAGATAGACATTTCCAATAATTCCTGTACAGCTTACAGCCATATTTACCCCGCTGCAGGTTAGGGGCTTGATTTTCATCAAGTTTTGGTTGAGGTGTAAAATAAAATATCCCAGCAGCACATGCAGAGATGGAGATGAGATTTAATTTAGAGATTACTTTTAAAACATTTGATATTAATTCACGTGGTTTGAGGGAGGAGAAAGTCACATACTCCAGTTTTACAGTGATGATCCCTTATTTCAGGTTCTGGGTGCCATTTTAATAAAAAGTTGCGATAATAACCGCCCCAAAGATTTACGACAGTTGCTTTAACAGTTAGCACAATTTAAGAATAGCTTATTTTTTGCTACATTTCGGGGGTAAAATCACTGATGATGGATGCTGAGCTCAGAGGCAAGAGTTAATTTGCCAAACCAATTTTCCACTTTGTTTGAAAACAGATCAAGTTGTATTCTTATTGCTTTTATCTTTCTTGTGTCAATAAAAAATAGCCAAAAGGCCTCCAGAAGAACACAGTCATGGACATCTTGGGGAAGGGGGGGGGGGGGGTCTTTGAGTTGAATATGTTTTAATGCATTGTTTCTAAGGGAATTCAGGCATATACATTAAACATTTTCAAAAGGAGGGATTCAACTTAGGGAGTTTGGATTTATCAATTTTTGGCTATATAGGATTTAATGCTATGATTTGTTCAGGTGAGAGAAGTTGTCTATGCATAATTGATGAATAGGACTTCTTTGAATTATCATTTTCTACTAACTCCTACTGATGGCATACTCATATTGCTCAGAAATTCACATCAGGGTGAATTTGAAAGAAAAAGGAAAATAAGCCTTCTAATAATACGAAGAAGAATATAAGTAGACTGTAAGTCCGTGTACGTCTGTCGACTAAAACACCACGGTAACCTGCACCTACTTCACTATAACGGTTTTTTCCCTCTTTGAACCCCTCTGGAACACTTCTTATTACAGGATCTTGTACCAACTGTTCTGGATGAGTACGTTTCCTTCACAGGCCACTTTTTCTGTAGGGCATTTTCTCAGCTCAAAAAAAATTTCAAAATATCCATAGCATGATGGAATGTAGCATTCCAAAAAACTTTTTATTTTACTGAGTTAATATAATTTAACAGCAGTGAGCCCCTTCTCAGCAAAAAAACGCACGCACGAAAACTTTCGTATCTCTAAATTTTTTGGTGAGAAAAACTTCCTTGATTGCAATAAAAAAAATTTGCGTGATGGAATTGTTCGTCGAAGAATGCTTTGATTTTTGAATCTTTATACTGCAAATTATTTTCCTCCTTTCGAGTCAAAGCAGAAATTTAACGTGAGAGGATTGAAGGGATACATTTTGGCTGTTTCCCGTCCCGCATATTTGTAAATTTGAGAACATGCAAGCTCAACATTGGAAATTTCACACTATACATTGATAACTTTCTGAAATGCCCAGTTCAAAAAATAGTTTCATCAATACAGTAATGTTTAGTTTTTTTTGAGTGTACAGAGTGCTCCACATATTTTTTAATTATCCCTAGAGGAAAATCATATGTTGATGCATAAATGACAGAAATGTTGCATAGCAAAAGCACATCCTGAATGTAAGAGATTAGTTTCGTTATGAGGGCATTGAAACTACATTACAATATACAATATAGGGGAGGGATTAAGTATAAATTCATCCATATATAGGCATACACACCAGGCATATTTTGTCGTCTCCTCCAGCTCCAGCATTTATTGCATGCGCATAATTGTCTCATGTTTCGGCGCAGACACGCGTCGCTGGCGATCCAAAACGTGTATTTCTTCCGGAACTCGACCGGAACGTCGGGCCGGAAAACCAGCCGGAAGTCCGTGCCGGGCTTCCTGCACATGACCAGCAGGGACACGCGAAGCGCCAATTTCAGCGATCCCGGACGGGCGGTCAAGAGCCTGGTGGCCACCAAGGCCCGCGAGTGCCAGAAGTTGGTAATGCGCGAGGTGTGTGACCCACGGCCCTAGTCTAGGGTCATAACCCATAGGGCCCTAGTCCGCGTCTACTTGGTGATGGCCCTGAGCACAGGGTACCCGTACGGGAAGGCGTGTCTCGAGGACTGGTTCAAGTACACGGTCAAGGACGACATTTTGGCCAAGTACGAAGCACGACTGGTGACGAACGTCGGGGACCGATTACGGAAACTCGGCAGGCTCTGAATAATAAATGCTTTGAACCATCATCCAACGATGATGAAATGGAAGGAAAGAACGTACCGCCGGTTTTACTCGACTTTCAAGTGACATCTGGGCCTTAAAACAAGAACTTCTGAATACATATACAGGCGCTAGATATCGCTCTTTCCGAAATTATATGTTCCTTCGAAGCACTGTACTGCTGCACTTGGTCGCACGACATATTTTTCAATGCAGCCGGCCAGGTTCTTTTTTTAATTCAGAAAATAAATTGAAAGCAGACAATTTTGAGCTATGGATATAATGTATTTCACAGAAATCCAAGTTATGTCGTCAGAAAGAAGCTACAAGTTTCAATGATTTGGTCACTATCGCTGTGAAGTTAATTTGATAAGATTTTTGGCTTCATCATCTACATGTATGCTCGAAGTCAGGTACTGTATCTCGATAGCTTTTTAATTCTGCAGCATCAGTTGTTTTTAGCATGATGAGCTGCCGAATGAGAAACTGACAAATTTCTTAATATAGTGAGATCTGTTTTAAGGAAGTTTCATATACTGTATCCTCAAATCCCCTCGAAATAAATGATGCCTTTGCCTGATTCTCAACTTGAAACTATTTTACTACCCGACTGACGGTCGAATGTGTGATAGACGAAGAATGGAACTCGGTGCAATTATTTTCGCCATGAAGAAAATGTTTAAAAAAATTTCATATAATTCGCGAAGAATTAGTATTGTTGCTGGAATCTCGGTCAATGGCGACTTTGACTGCGCTTTTTGTGTATTGTTACGGAGATGTTGGCATTTGCGCTTCAGAAAATGGATCGAAGCAGTCTGCAGATGGCCGCTGCTGAGGAGACCCGTCAGTCACTGGAAAGTCTAAAATCCATGAAACACGCTACACTTCTCAAGGAATTCCTGGGGGAAAAAATTAAGATTCATACGACTGAATCATTGTTTCATGAAATATGATAACAGATGGAATTTTCAACAATTCCTGTACAGCTTACAACCATATTTACCCCCTGCAGGTTAGGGGCTTGATTTTCATCAAGTTTTGGTTGAGGTGTAAAATCAAATATCCCAGCAGCGCATGCAGAGATGGAGATGAGATTTAATTTATAGATTATTTTTAAAACATTTGATATTAATTCACGTGGTTTGAGGGAGGAGAAAGTCACATACTCCAGTTTTACAGTGATGATCCC